CCCCCCCTCCCACCCCCCCCCCCCCCCCCCCCCCAAGCGGCGCAGGGGGACGGGGATGGGGTTTACGGTCAGTTCATCACACATTATTTCTGCCGCTTCATCCTCCTCAGGGGCAGGACTCATCACTCTTCCCCTGCTCCAGCGTGGGGTCCCTCCCACGGGAGACAGTTCTCCACAAACTTCTCCAACGTGGGTCCTTCCCATGGGCTGCAGTTCTTCATGAACTGCTCCAGCACGGGTCCTTTCCACGGTGTGCAGTCCTTCAGGAGCACACTGCTCCAGCGTGGGTCCCCCATGGGGTCACAAGTCCTGCCAGAAAACCTGCTCCATGGGCTCCTCTCTCCACAGATCCACAGGTCCTGCCAGGAGCCTGCTCCAGCACAGGCTTCCCACAGGGTCACAGCCTCCTTCGGGCATCCACCTGCTCTGGTGTGGGGTCCTCCCCGGGCTGCAGGTGGATATCTGCTCCACTGTGGACCTCCATGGACTGCAGGGGGACAGCCTGCCTCACCATGGTCTTCTCCATGGGCTGCAGGGGAATCTCTGCTCCGGCGCCTGGAGCACCTTCTCCCCCTCCTTCACTGACCTTGGTGTCCGCAGGGTTGTTTCTCTTACATGTTCTCACTCCTCTCTCCGGCTGCTGTTTCTGTGTCTGTCTCACAACTTTTTTTTCCTTCTTAAAAATGTTATCCCAGAGGCGTTACCACTATCACTGATTGGCTCAGCCTTGGCCGGCAGTGGGTCCGTCTTAGAGCCGGCTGGTATGGGCTCTCTCGAACACAGGGGAAGCTTCCAGCAGCTTCTTACAGAAGCCACCCCTGTAACCCCCCTGCTACCAAAACCCTGCCACACAAAGCCAATACATCCAGTACCTACAAATATTTAACTACTTCCACTTTCTTACCTTTATGGTCCTTAAGCCATTTTCCCCTCCATTGCTAGTAATGGTGTTAAAATTAGGATGTAAATATTTTGTAGGTACTAGGGCCAGAATTAATCCAAACAATTATTTTTTCTTTGCACTGTTTACTTATATTGAAAATGCAAACACCTGTGATGTGAATGTGCTGCATAGATATTTGAACTTAAGTGCAAAACCAACATTCTTGAGTTGAGTTGTTCTACTAGCATGACTTTAAAAAAAATAATTTTTGTGATTCAGTATATGTATTCTGAAAAGTGTTTGTTGCTTTGAATCAGTTACTCATTTGTTTCACAAAGGTAAAGATGCACTGAATGTTAATGTTTTAAGCAAAAAGAAACATTCCAAGGTAAGTGAAACTTACAGAGACTTATCAACTAAATTAATTCATAAAACACAGTATATAGCAATATGCCTGGAATTACAAAGGACGACATTGCACTGAGAATGTAGATGTGTATTGGGTGAGGGAGAACAGAGAATTTGAAAGTATATTCAGCTACAGAAAAATGGTTTTGTTCCCTCAGTAGTAGAATCTTTTAATGAGTATATGTATGGTTTGTGTACCTTCATTTTCTCTTTTATATATATAGAATTACTTTTTTATTCATTTACTGCTGTAATGGTATGAAAAATAACTAACTTTAAGCACCAGGACAGCTAATTAAGTGATCAGAGAAATCAATCAATAAATATAATTTTTTATTTAAATATTTTTAAACAATATATTAATGTGTATTTTGTTCTCTTCTTTTTTTGTTTGTTTTTTCCTTTCACATTCTGTCCCCCCTTTTTTTGGCCATTGGTGCCTCTTGCTTTTTCTCCTTCCTGTTTGGTCAGTGGTTTTTGGCCAGTTTGTATTTTTCCAGACATCACTCCATGATGTAGTTGAAGTATATGATGGCCCAACTCTGCAGTCATCTTTGTTATCCTCTCTCTCAGGATCTCATTCAGGTATTCTTTAATAGAACTGTCATTTACTTTTTACAAACCTAGAAAGATAGTGTAGTCAGAAAAAAAGAAGAAAAATATGATAGTCATATTTTATTAGATTCAATTCAGGCAAATATATGAAATTAGGATTTTGAACTAAAAGCCTAACCACTCAAAACTCTTTGCGTTAATGAATAAAATGAAGTAAAATTAAATTTTTTTTTTTTTTTTTAGATTTTTTTTCTCTTGATATTTAGTTGTTATAGTGAGTGGTTTGGGCTTCTTACTCTGTGCCTTTATGACTTTTATCTAGTGAGCAATATGAAATGAGTATTACATATTTTAAAGGGAAAGCAGCATATATTTGTAGCAAAGTAAAATTGTATAGATATTGTGTGCATTGACTTAATTAAAAGAGGTATGGGGTTTGGTTTTTTTTTTGCTAAAGGAAAAAAACAACAAATATTCCTAATAACTGAGATGAGTTTTAGTCCCCCTTTTCTAGAACAACATAATACTGTCAACATAAAATATTGAAATCCCATATATGTTGCAAAGTTTACTGAAGCAGAACAGGGTTTTCAGAAGGTTATTTCTAGCTGCAAAGATGTTGACAGGTATTTTGAATGCTTCTTTAGTAAAATGTGGTTATGATAGCTTTGTATTTGCTTTGTTTGAGTAGGTGAATCCCTTCCATTGAGCTCAGGTAACCAGATCACGGTTAGATTTACTTCAGTTGGACCAATAACAGCTAAAGGATTTCATTTTGTTTATCAAGGTGAGACAACCTGGAAAAATCTGTACATTTATTCTTTTTGTCACAAACTGTAAATCATCAGAGAGGAACAGACTGAGAATGTAGAGGGAAGTAATTGCCTGTTAACAATGTAACAAGTTTCACTACTTCTGCATGTTTTGAAAAAAATTTGGGACCATTCTTTATCTGTATTTTAAAGCTTAAATCAAATATTTAAGAAGTATAAGAGAGATTCCAAATGTAAGAAGACAGTTATACAAAGCAGCTGTTTCTGTTTGTTAATCTGGTTGACTAATGTTAGATCCATCTTGCTGCTCAAACTGGTTTATCTCTCAATTTAAATATGAATAACTGTAAGTGTTATTACCTGTGGGTGAATCAGTGATCTTACTGTTATTGAGATACTTCTCTTGGTTTATATTATTTGCCTTTTTATGGGTCAAACACAGAAATGGTTATACATCAATACTTGCAACTGCAATTCATTCTTTCATTAAAATTAAATCCTGATCTGAGAGTCAGAATACACATTTAGAAATCCACAGAAATAAATGTAAATACCTATCTGACACAGAAAGGTTACTTTGAAACCATGTATTAGCTGAATATTTCATAGCAGTATTTCTTTTCAGTGCCATTTTAGAAAGGTTTCAGTGTGGATTTTATACATTGCTTTTAAACTTGGCAAGAATATCAGTGCTATGCTCTTCTAAATAGTAACTCAGACATCAAAGGTATGCAATCCATATTGTAAAGATTAATTTGGGGATTATAAGAATATTCTTAACTAGCAAATAACTGAATTTTTTGCAGTCATTTTGAATATTTCTGGTTCAAAATCTGTATTCCTCCACCAAATCTAAAATTAAGAATCCACAATTGTTTCTATGTTTGCAGCTGTTCCAAGAACAAGTGCAACACAGTGTAGCTCTGTGCCTGAACCAAGATTTGGAAAAAGGATTGGAAATGAATTTGCAGTTGGGTCATTGGTTCTTTTTGAGTGCAATCCAGGTTATATCCTCCATGGGTCAACAGCAATTAGATGTGATACAGTACCAAATGCATTGGCACAGTGGAATGATTCACTCCCTACATGTGTTGGTGAGTTCTAAGGCTTTTTAACAGAACTAATTACTGCCTTAAAGTGTAGACCGCTCTCTCCAGCTGAATGTGTTCCTTGTCATCTATACAGTATTTTATTCTTGTTTACTTTTATTCACTTTCTTCTTCATTCAAGATAAAGATTTTATTCCCCTTCCTATTCTAACCTTGCTGTGACATTTCAGGAGTTTCATGAACATACTCTGCTGCTATAAATTATATGTTAGCTTCTTTTACATTAACATCAGTGACAGTCCCTGGCTGTCCCTTAATCAAGACTCAGAAATATCAGTTTGTGTCCTAACTGCTTGCAAAACTAAGATGCTGTCACCTTGTAGATCTCTAACAAGCTATTGCAAGCTATTAGAAAGAACACTACTATATTACAGATTTAGAAATAGTTGCGCTAGTATTTCATTACTTGTCAGAAAAAAGCAGTGATTTTTTCAGATGAGAAAATATACTTTGTCTGGTTCTAGTCATACAAGATTAAATTCTCAAAATGAAATTCTTAAATTAATGTGCATCCATTGACATTTATTAAGCTGATTTGCACCAATTGGAAATCTGGTGATTGTGTTGAAAAGCCCCACAGTAAAGAGATAAAATTCTAATGGTACATTTTTTCATAGATTTATGTCAAGGGCAAATACAGCACATTTACATATTAAGTTTTATTAGAGTTTGGCTTTGTTTTTTGTATGGAAAAAAATTCAGTTGTTTATAAATGAATTAAAATTGGTTATAATTTGCACAGATGTTTTTGCAATGCCATCAAACTTTTCCACCTGTAACATCTGTTGCAGTACTGACTGCATTATACATTAATTTTGTGCAAATTGAATACATTGAAACCTATTCATTTTGAGGATGAAGACATCTGAAGAACTCCATTCCCAAACAAAACAGTAAATATATGTATGAGTTAAAGTTACTTTACTTTTCTTGGCAGAGAACAGATTTTTTATAAAAATGATCCTAACCCATTGCAAAAACCACATTATGATAGTGACTGCAGCATTAAGAAGTACATAAGCAGTGTTTTAGATGAATGGAGGAAAGGAAAATAGAGGACATTTTTTCATTAGGTTGAATTTGAATCTTCTGTGCTTATCAGCTGAAGGTGAATGTTAAAGTCTGAGCCGTTTTCAGTAAAATAAAAGATTTTCTCCAAAATACGAAAATCTTCATAGAGATCAAGACTCAGTACAATAGAGGTAATATTAATAAATATTATTAACCAGCTATTAGAGACAAATCATGTTTATTTAGACTGTTTCAGGCATAGGAATAGAACCACAATTTATATATCAATAAGAAGCTCAAGTATATGGCTATATTTCATTTGTTCTCAGTGATTACAGTTTAATCAGTAATTGTACTATTTACCCCCCTGAAATGTATTCCCTTTGTTTTTCAGATACAACAACAGAGTGTTGAAATAATTATTTTGGCCATTGGTCACAATGTATTATTGAAATTTTAATACATGATTTAGTCTGTGGAAGAGAAAGCTATCTGTCTCTAGGCAAGTTGAACTGAGAAAAGGTTACAGGCCACCTTATGTGTGAAAATCACTGTGCCGATAAATGTGATAAAATATATATAAGGTGAAAATTGCATTGAACTATATCAGTTTAATAATTGAAGTGGTAGACATGACCATATTAAATTGCCTTAACTCTAGTGAGTGCTTGAATATTTCCTTGGAGATAGTAGACATCAATCGTTCTGTCTGTTCATCCTTTTATGAGTAATTATTTAAACACTTTAAATGACACTGACCTTTAGTTTATCCATGTAGTTCCCAACAGATTCTATCAATTATGTCTCACAGAAAACATAGGTACAGTATTCATTATTAAGACAAGTTGCATTCTCCTACCTATTTCCTACCTATTTTCTAAATCCTCGTATTTGTATCTAATGAAATCCATTCAGAACTTAGCAGTGTTGCTTAGAAGTGATATATTAGCTTCTAATGGTTTTGATAAACCATCTCATTAAGCAGTAATATTCTTTGTCCCTGTTAGAGCATCTAATGATCTAGACAAGCTGAACATTGAGAAGAGAAACTTGGTGGTACTGAATGCCTCTGTCCTATTTCACGCGTAACATTTTTATTAATCCATGGCCATGGATATGATGAGTGCAGTCTCGCAAGCATTTAGCAATTTCTTTACTAATGTGGTAGATCCATAGATTATAATGGGATAACTCATGGAAGCAAAGAGAACAGTCAAAGAGTTGAGACTGGTGCTATTAATTATTTAGACAACAACAAAGTAGCAACATTAAGAAAGAATGTATCTTTTTTATGACATATTTTTATCTTTTATACTGATAAAATACATAACTGTTCAAACTTCATTCTTAAACCTTTAAAATAATGTTTCATTTTTGTAAGATTACTAGGAGACAATGGAATGGATTTCACTTCATTAAAGGTCAAATAAATAAGGGGAATATGAGCATGATTCTCCAGGGTAGAAAACTGACATAATTCAAATTTTCCTTTATTCTTTTTTGGTCATTTAAAAGGAGTTTTTTGAGATACAAGATTTTATTTTCCTGAGGCAAATATAAATTTTTTAATGTAGCATAAATTTACAGAAGTTTTCAGCCATGGTATGCTGAACATTGTGTAAGCTTTTATAATAACTTTTCTCACTTCTGAAGCTTCATACTTCTTTTCTTGCCTTATGCATTTCCTTTCAGTGCCCTGTGGTGGAATTTTAACAAAGCGCAAAGGGACTATTTTGTCTCCTGGTTACCCTGAGCCTTATGACAACAATCTGAATTGTGTGTGGAAGATCACAGTACCAGAGGGAGCTGGGATTCAAGTAAGTATACTTGCTATTTGCTTGTCATCATCATGTTTAAAACTGTTTTTCCTGATGCAAGAGCATGAAAAGATCATTTATTCATACATTTTTCTATCTCACTAATGATTCTCACAATGGAATTTATTGCACATCTTTTGTATTCATGGAGTTGTTAAAAGTTATAAGATTTACAAAAATCTTAAAAGATACACTTGTAACTTTTTACTTAGAAGAAAAGCACCAATAATTTGAAATGTGTTGTTTCAATAGGTCAGTGATTCCTTGTAAGCCAGAGGAAAGAGAGTCTTCCCTGTGATTTTTTTTTTTGTCTCCCCAAATGGATAAATCTCCTTTAACAGAGTGAAATTAAGTGGGTTGCTTCTGTGGACAAGTTATATATGTTTTCCTAGAAACTCTGTTATTTACTCTATAGTTATGGAAGCTCATAGTGTTATAAGGAATCTTCAGTATGTTTCAACATGAGATGGGAATTGGTCCTTTAAAATACTGACAAAATTCTCATTTACTAAAATTTAGATTAAGAGCTGTTTAAACTGTGTTCCTCAAAATCAATCTCAAAACTGATTTAAGTTATTAAATCAATACTTACTTTCCTGGTAGGCACCATGGGCACAGATGTTCACTTGCTGTTCCCAATTCTGAACTCTGGAATCTTTGTTTTCTTTCCCTCCATACAATGCTGTAACCTCACTACAGAGATTTCTCAGTGGGAATCTGGCAGCAGGATCTGCTAGCACAAGTTCTATAGGTTTGTGAAAAAACAGTTTCTGTGAATTTTAGAAGTATAACTGGCAGGGAAGGGAAACTGACAACCAGCGGTTACGTGCCAGCTCTGATATGCTTACTGCTTTATTAATGTAAATAGATGGAACACATAGCAGAAAAGTATCAATTAAGCTAAGTCATGTATATCTCACTCTTTAGAGTTCACTAAAGAAACTGACAGAAATCTGATTATTGGAAAGGCAGTTGAGTTTAATAAATTAGGACTTTTAAGCATCATCTGATAAATTCCTAGCAAAATGCGTATCAAGAAACCATGGTAGCAAGTTTTCTATGTCTACCCTTGGTTCAAAATATAACTACTGTAGAAAATGAATAAATAAAGAGCTCAGTTTCTGTAGGTAAAGGTTTAATAATAAAATCCAGAACCATTGCGGACACTTTATTAAAGCTTTTTAATAAATTACATCACAGAGCTTTTAAGGTACTCTACTGTGTCAAGAAAAGATTCTAAAATAGTACGAGTTTATACTTTGCTACTTTATAAGTATTCAGAAAAATATAGGTTTTGTTTTAAATAGCTAAAAATACTTAAGAAAAATGTAAAAACTTTATGGAAGAACACAGAAATAATCACAAATACAACCTAAGTCCGTACATGGTAACATTTATGAGTTCAATTTTCAAAGCCACCTATGTCCATTAATAATAGTATTTAATAATCTAAATCAGTTTTGGGATTAATTTTGAGGAACACTGCTTGATTTAAACAGTTGACTAAGTTAGGATACTTTGTTCTGTGTATTTCTTATACAATCAGTAATGTAAGTTAAACACTAGGAGGATAGTTCAGAGGATTTAAATTAGGCATTAATTGGCATCGTGACTTAGGCAGTCACTGTTGCTTTTTGGAAGTATTTATCTCTTACCACAAACTGCATTAGGTGATTAAATGACTAACTTTGATTTCAAGTTAGGTGTTTAATCTGCATGATATTCTTCTGCTCCAGAGTCATAATAAAAAAGATGTATTTACTGTTTGCTTTCTTTCTAGTTCTCCCAAGTTTTTTTTTCAGAGTTATCAAATAGCATCCTTCCTTTCTGTTATCAGTTATTGAATAAGTTATTCATTTATATTTGTTTCAGTGTAATGACAACAGGGCAGTTTCATGGGCATACCTGTATGATTGTAATTAGATACGTAGAACGTTTAATATTGTCACTGAAGCAGGACAGTCATGAAGTGTGATATTCATGCTTGATCCTTTGAATACTGTCTGATTTTCAGGGCTAGGTCTGAGGAGGATAAAGTCCCTGGTATAGTAAACTGAATACAGCTGATACAGGGTCAGTAAGACAGAGTATACATCAGAAGTCATACCATTTTTACTGTGTTATTTTTCACAACTGAGCTTAGCTTTATATCTACTAATGACATAAAAAATGGCATCAGTATTGTTTTGGGTTTGTTTTTTTCACTTCATAGGAAAGAAAAAACCTGAATATGCATATATTAAAATGTAATTGTTACTGTGAAAATCAGCTACTTGAGGCAACATTTGAAAACTTGGGTGACTGATTTTGTCCAACCTGAGAATGTGTGCAAATGCAGATATTCAAGATACTGTGACAGCTAATGCTTTTGTGTTTATGTAAATACATAAAATATCTGGACATTTTTCCTGACTAATATTTATTCCCTCAAAGTATCAAAGACACTTTCCCAGCTTTAGAGGAGATGAAAATAATATATCACCAGTGCATATTCCTCTGTGAAATGTGTAGATGGAATTTTAAACTGTTTAGGTAAAACAGCTATTGATATATATGATTACTTTGTTGAATTTGTTGAAACAGCATGATCAGATGTAAATGCTGAGCTGTCTAATATCAAATCAAAAAGCAGACATTTAAAAGTAGATTTAGGTAAATATAAAGTGTACACCAAATGCCTGCCTTCAGGCACCTAACTTAAATACCTTTCATCAGGAAATTAATCTACCATAGTTCCTTATAAAGTTAGAGCAGAAAGGTGCCTCAAGTAGGTAATTCAAAATATCTGATATAGGCTCTGGCTCTGAATCACTGCCTGAAGGTATGTCTGTCTACTTATTGACTACATGGGGAGGTTAGGGCAACTAGCATCAGTTGCACTAAAATAGATGTTTTAAATTAGGTGTTTTATGATGAATGTAAAAACAGTAGTCAGCAGCAATCCGGCCCCAAAAACACATAAAAAACATTAGGTAATTTGAAAATTGTTCTGAAGGTTTCCCAGGTGCCTGCACTTACAATTCTGTATGTCTTCAGAAATATTCCTGACAGAGGCAACACCCATAAGTTTCACCTAAATCCCTTGTGAACCAAAAAATAGACAGCCAAGTCTGAATTTTTTCAGTGGGTTTCCTCCAAGTATCTAAACATGCTAACAGTCAGGGTGTCTCCATTGCTTCACTTAAAAAAAAAAAAAAAAAAAAAAAAAAATCATCCTTTGGCTGTAGTATCTAACCAATTCCTACAAAAAAGTAGTGTTTAAGGCCCCCATCCAAGAAATAGGTAGCCATACTGAACTTTCTTTTTACCTAGGAGAAGGTCCAAGTCATATATTTCACCTAGAAAAATAACTTCATTACCTAGTTGTACTGGAACCGGTGCTTATTTCTTGTGTTGAAGCTATTCCATTTTGGAAAAAAAATAAAAGGAAGAATAATTGAGGCAGAAGAACAGTAAAAGAAGCATAGTTATCTGACTTGGTGGCTAAGGTACCCCTTTTTGAGGATGGTTGAGGTTTCATCTGCTCTTCTGTCACTCTTTAAATGCTTTTCATTAAACAGTTATTTCACTAAAACAAAAAAAATGCCAGAACCTCTCCCCTCCAAAACAGGAAAAGGAACCTGGCATTTCTCTACTTCATGGGGAGTGTTTTCACTATATGAGAACAGATATATCCTCCCTCTTGCAGTCTATCTGTTTACTGCTTTGCATCTTACGAGTGGAAAAATGTTGTCACCTCTGGAAGGAATGAAGTGAATGTTCTGCCTTTTGCTTGTAGCGTGCTGGTGACTGCTTCTCCTCAGGAGATGAGTCAATGATGAAAGTAACCAAACACAGGAGGTTGCTCTTACCTGGAGGCAAAATTGAACATGGCAAGATAGATGAAGCAGCGTGCATCACTGTGGGCCTGTTTTTAGCCCTGGATAAACAGGAGAGAATCATAAAGTAACTAACTACTCTATACCCAGACGATTTTTACAGTTGTGTGACTCTAGTTAGAGGTAATATGTGGTTTTCACTAAAGGTCACAGGATCTAAAAGTCTGAATTGGCAATTAAATTTAAAAAATGTTGCAATGCAATTGTATTCACTTAATGATGATTTTCCGTTCTCTTTGGCAATGAGAGCAAGACACAACTTTTCATGATTGAAAGCAACAGAGGCTACAATTTACAGTCATCTTTGTGCTTCAATACAGAGGGGACAAAGTTTATGTTCTTTGCCTCACATTTTTCTTCATAGGTGCAGGTGGTAAGTTTTGCCACAGAGCACAATTGGGATTCCCTCGACTTTTACGATGGTGCTGACAACAATGCTCCAAGGCTTGGAAGTTATTCAGGTGACTGAGAAGATTTTACAATAAGTGTTTCACAGTTTTAACTCTATTGTAAACATACAGCTCTTTCATGCGTGTGTGTGTGTGTGTTCCTCCTATAATTAACAACAGGTAGTATTCCTTCTGTTTTAATCAGTCATCTCTTAGCAGACTTTCATAAACTTGAATATTTGAAAATGTTAGAAATGAAATAACATTCAGAGGCTCCCAAACTAGATATCTATTAATCTCTTTTTTTGCCCACTCTTATAGCAGAGGCCAAAAATATAGACCTCTAAAAGAGATGCCTCTTGAAATTGTACATGACTAAAGTATGCATTCTTTATCCTTATTTTAGATAAACAAGACAGTTCTGTTTGCGTTACTTTTTCTTGTTTTGTTTTGTTTTCCTTTATTCTACTTCATTCATGTATACAGAATGAGATCACAGACAATAAGATTGTTATCTTGTCTTGTGCTGAAACACAAATAAATAACAACATTTCTAAGAATAGCTCTACCAGATATGTTCAGAGCTGCTTGATATATTTGACTGTTACATTTAAAATTATTCCAGTTACAGGATTTGCTCTTGCTTTTATGAAAACCCTAGTGAATATTTCTTCTGTAGTGGATAAAAGAATGTAATATAAATTTATATTAGACCTTGCTTCCCTGAGTACCTACAGTTGAGGTCTCTGATATTGTGGTGCACTGAAAATGTAATAAAACTTTTATAGGGACAGATATTTGATAGCATCCATGATGACAAAATATGGTGGAATTGGTTATGTGACCTCTCTTTTCCCCCCATCCCCATCTTCTCGCCTCCCTTCCCGCCTTTCTCTTTTTCTCTTTCTTTCTTTTTATACATACACACACATCTATTTCAACAATATCTTGATTTCTCTTTTCAGGAACAACCATACCTCCACTTCTCAACAGCACGTCAAATAATCTGTACCTAAATTTTCAGTCTGATATCAGTGTTTCAGCTGCTGGATTTCATCTTGAGTATACAGGTAATGCAGAAATGTTCAATTAATTAAGACCACTTGCTGGTTCCAGTCATTAGGTGTACCTAAACTATATAAAAGAGGAATATTCAGTCCTACTACACATAATGAGCTAATACCATTACTTCCAAGTCATGAGTAAAATCCTAATTTAATTCCAAGTGAACAAGATCAGGCCTGAAACCTGTACTGTAAGGACTGGGAAATTTAGTTTAACTTGCTTGCACCGTTAATTTGGTTTTGCTCTCTGAAAAGCTTTTCTGAACATACAGCAGCTAGGAGTAAATGCAGACATGCTCATGTGGCAATCCTAATCCCAAGTTATAACATATTTATATAATTGGTGCAGGCAAAACCAGCAAACTGATGTAGGAAATTTCAGTTTAACTTCTTTGCCGATTAACAGTTAATTATTGATTCTAGTATTGAAGAAAAATAATAACAAAAAAACCCTGAGGAAAAACTCCCCTGCTTCCCTTTGGACATCTCCCCACACACGTGCTTTTTAGTTCTTGTTCTCCCCAAACACTACACTCTGTTCCTTTGGTGAGACAAGGGCAGTGCAGCAGATCGGGTCAGTGGCCTGTGGTTCCTACAGTCCCCTTAGGGTCCCACCTCTCAGTGCCTGCTCGGGTGGACACTCGGGCTCCAGGCCCTGCTCAGGCAACTGCTCCGGCTGCAGCCTCTGTTCAGTCATGTTCTTCTCTCTGTCCTCCTTCAGTGAGATCTGTCTCCTCTTGCTCTGGCCTTCTTGTTCCTTTTCTTAAGTATGTCTTCACAGGGCCACATCTGGTTGGTACAGAGGCACCCCAGACTCCTCTGGTGGGTGCCGCTGTGCCCTGCAGTGGGGGTCTTGGAGCCGGCTGGATCCGGCTGAACCGGCTGTGTCCGGCTCAGCCCCTGGTCTCTTCCAAAGATGCCACCCCTGCAGCCCCACACCCCACCAGCCCCTGCCAAAATCTGCAAATTATACCCAGTACAATAATATATGTACTATATAGTATGTATTTTATATATATGTGTAGGGGACAAAAATTAGTCACTCTCAGCGAAAATGAGAGAATAAATAAACTGAAAATAGCAGCTGTGCTTCTTAACTAACTGACGAATGCTCACAGGTTGGTGCGATTACAGCAGAATTATTTCAAATGTTTTTTATTAGTGCTGCGTACCTCATGAGCAGAAAAGGCTATAATTACAAATGTACTTTCTGTCTGAATGAGACCGCCTTAGCTGACTGACAGGAATTCTGGCAATTACTAATATTTTGTTGCAGGTTGTTTTGTTTGTTTTTTTTTTTTTCTTCCCAGCTGTGCAGTTCCCTCTGCTCATATTGGTTCTGGTATCTGATCTGCATAATTGTGTCACGGTTATTTCTTGTCAGTTTTCCAGTATGCAAATCCCATGGTCTGGTTGTCTGATTAGCCAGTCAGAGAACACGGCCTTGCAAAATTGCTGCCTGATCGCTTGTCTATAACTAAACATTAATTATAGGTTAGAGTTATCCTGCCATTTCCTTGAAATGCAGATAGTCTCTCAGCTGCTTACAACTTCAGAGGGGAAAAAACTGTGGGAAGTTATGAAAATAAAGTAAAATCCAGTGGAAGTGAAAATGCATCTCTGTATTCCTATGTGTCCAAATAACTGAAATGTGTACGGTACTGCCAGTATACAACTTTCACCTCTAATTAAAGAAAGAATTCACAGTACATCGTTTAAAGTATTGGTCCATGCCAAGAACAATAGCTATATATGTGTATATGGGTTTATACAAAGGTGTATGTGTGAATGTGTACAAATGCAATATGTTTTTGGTGTGAATGTATAAACCCACAGTATATGCTGAAAATTTGTGATTCAGGAGATAATATCGATGTCCCTCAGTAGATACCCAGTTAACCAGTAGCTCAGTGAAATACGCTATTTTACAAAACTAATGATTAATTAATTTTTCATGTGCAGGCAATAGAAATATGTGATTAAAACATCATACAGACTTTGAGGTGGAGTAAGGAAATTGCAAAACAATGTCTAAACCTGTAATCTTTATTGGAAACAAATGTAAACTTTAAGGGCAAATATTTTGTGGCAAGTAAAGAATTGTGGTTGGAGAGTAAACTATGATGATTACTGAATTAAGATTTTCTGTGATATGTGATATATTTTCCAAAGATATGCTCTAAAATAAACATAAATTATTTTACATGTGTGGGAATTATTGAAGTAAAATCTATGGTATTCAAAGTACAGAATAGGATTAAGTGAGCATAATATCTCCACAAAATCTGTGGAATACACCATCTCTACATTGTTAATAAGAAAAACAAAATAGAAAATATTTTCAAGATTATCTTGAAGTTTAAAATAGAGGTACATTGTAACTAAATTCCTGTACTGCAAATTGCAAAATAATGAGATGATTTTGTAGAATAATGTGGAAAAATGTAAAGCATTAGGCATCCCTGTTTGTTTACCACTCTCTGGCTCACAACATGGAACTAAAGCATGGTTTCAGAGCATGCAATCTGGATTCTTTTCATGCAAAACTAAATAGGTGTACTTCAACATCTCAGCTAATGCCTTCAGCCACTAATAGACAATCAGCCTATAGGACCAGATTAGCTAAAGCTAATAATAATAAAACCCTTTAGTTTAGCGCTTAGTGTGGATATTGAGTCCCAGGCACCAGCTGTTTCAGTCCATAGATCCATGACTATTACTCCCCACTACTTGCTAAGAAAGACGTAGTCTCTTTTACCTGTGGATTGGAGGAAAGTTTTATGATTTTTTTTTTTTTTAATCTGTAGCTTAGTATTTTTTTCAAGAAGAGACTGTGGAAAATTCCTCATTGGGCTGAATCGTGAGTTTGATACAGGATGTTAAGCTAAGGGGCAATACTTTCTCATCATTGCTAGGAAGGAAGACAACAGAAACTGTATCTTGTGTATCTTCTGGATTTTTGTCTCGTGCAGTTTTCTGCAACAGAGATACAGGAAATTTTGTCAGGATTCCAGGACTCAAAATACTGCTGTATTGCTACTGAACTTTCTCCAGAAATGCTTTGATCAGAAGAGAGTTTGCTCTCCTCAGTTGTCCTGGTCATCTCTGACTCTCAGACAACACTTCCTGCTCTAAAAGTTGTGATTGTTTTTAGAGATAGTTAGTAAATAGAAAGTAATGGCCACATTTTAATGTCAGTGTTTCCAGTGTTTTCCATTTCACTGGAGCCTGCACTGACAGAGGTCATCATGAGGAGTCAGCTAAATTAAAGTCTTAGTTTTTGAAGTATCAGTGCATGGTTCTCATTGAAAATCAGATCAGAGTTAAATATTTACATTAAGCACTTTTCAAGTGAGTTAGCCATAAACTTTTTTTTTCAATATGTAGTGCATCCTCCAATTCTATTTCACGTATTCTAGGAGACACAAGTCCGAGGGGAAGTTCACCCTTCTTGCCAAAATGACTACTTTTTAATCTCAACAACAGTTTTCTGTAAGAAGGTTTCATTTGTTTCATTTCCAATATCTCTTTTCATCCTTTATTTAATAGGTTTTTCACACTGTCCAGTCTGGCTCATCTTTTGAACTGCTACAAAATCCAAATGCACTTTTTTATATAAAAATAAAACAAAACAAAAGGAACTTTATTTGTTGAAGAAATATTTTAAGACCAAGTAACTGATACTTTGTCATAAGGAATTAAGTATTTACATTCCAAAACGGAATAGTGGTCTTATCAATAATCTTTTTTCTGGCATATTTTTACTTCTTTGTTGAATTCTTAAATTCTTATCATATTAATAACATGCAGTTTATGTATTCTAATGGATACCTTAAATATGAAAATATATTGCATTGAAAATATGTTGCATCAACTGAAGAATGTCAACAAAGAGCACCACAGAATGGTTTGTTAAACACTTACATAATGTTTATATGTTTTATGCCACTACAAATATTAATTTAGTCCTCATTTTCTCTATCTAAAGTTTTGCTAATTAGGTAATTGATTGTTCTGTGTAAGTAGTGGTAATATTCTTTGAGATTAGTTGAGTTTCTCAGATTGTCTCATCATAATTTCCATAATACTCAGTATCTATTTAAAATTAGTAAAAAATATGACACACTAATTTTCATTCTAAAATAAAATCCCTAGAAATCTATGTATTTAAATTGTATAATGTATAAGTCTCACATAAATACTAGAACATTTCCATAAAATTACAATAATAACTTTTAAAAATAAAATGGGCTATTCCTTTAAGTCTTGTGTAGTCCCAGAGTGCAATATCCAAAATTTTATTGGTATGTTTTTGTATTTAGAGCCATAGGAGCTGTTGGAGAAGGGCGAGACAGCATCAAATAGCTTCTTTTACTTTATATACAATTCATCTCATCTAAAAATTAGAAGATACTGAAAGTATGTTTTCATGTATGCCTATGTTAAAATCTCTTTTCTTTCTAATGCCACTGGTCGTGAAAGTTTAAAATCTAAGACATTATACTGAGGTAGTAGTATAATGTGGTTCAAGGAACTATTCATGCACCACAAATGAGTCAATAATGAACAGAGTGCAGTTTATGAATACATTTATGATTTCACCTGAATAACTATCATGACACTATAGAGACACAAGTTCTGAAGTAGCCTGTCCTGGTTTCATCTGGCATAGTGTTAATTTTCTTCCTAGTAGCTGCTATAGTGCTGTGTTTTGGATTTAGGATGAGGATAATGTTGATAACACACTGATGTTTTAGTTG